AGAGCGCCTTCCTCTTCCTGGCGCGGCGTCCGCGCTCGAGGGGCCCCGGAGCGGACCAGGCTCGGGTCACAAGTGAGTACGGAGTCGGCCGCGCCGCCAAGCCAGACCCGGGGTCGGGACGACTCCTTCCCCTTTGCTGGGGCGGGAGCTGGTGGATGAGAGACGGTGTCAGGGGTTCTCGCTCTATTGCCGCTGAGGCCCCCTGTGCACCGTCAGGAGTTAGGGGTGACGCTGAGGCCCCCTGCGCACCGTCAGGAATTAGGGGTGACGCTGAGGTCCCCTGCGCACCGTCAGGAGTTAGGGGTGACGCTGAGGTCCCCTGCGCACCGTCAGGAGTTAGGGGTGACGCTGAGGTCCCCTGCGCACCGTCAGGAGTTAGGCGTGACATCAGGAATCTGCCCCACAGCGGTTTGGATTCAGGGCTACTCCCAGTCGTTACAATTCACAGAAAAATTCTTCCGAAGTTTTTAATTTTATCGATTGCAATTTGTTGTTTGTAAATATCTAATATTTAAAAAGGCCATGGATTTGCATCATTTTCCTCCCATTTTGTTTGAATAGGTGATATTCTAGAACTTTGGTGATGGTTGAGTTTGCCTATGCTTGAGTTGTGGGGGCAGGAGGCAGAAAGAGGGGGTGACTGTGCTTGGTGGGGGTCCCTGAAGTGACAGCCCTGCAGCTGTCACCTGGCCCTCCCTGCCATCACCCCACAGTCTGAGGTCTCTGAGAGCCAAAGAGCCCACAGACTGCCGGTGGGACCCTGTGGATCTGAGGCAGGCGGGGCTTCCTCATCCGAACAGGTGTGAGACTGCTCTGCGTTGGTACCTGAGAAAAGGGAAATGAGATTTACCCTGCTGGACGGAAACCTGTCATTTTCGCCCCCTTTCAACCAATATTTCTGGGTCACCATTGTTGCTCTAACCATCTGAGGGGTCCACATGTTGGGATGTTAGTTGGGGAATGTCTGGCAGGACCTCTGAGAAACGGCCTCCCGTGTGCTGCCTGCCCCGGGAACACCTGGGCAGTGGCTGCCTGGGGAGGTGTCACAGATCACTGTGTTGGAGGTTACAACAATCAGAACAAGTTCCACCCTGTTTATCATGTTTCAGGAGACCTGGTTGCTTGGCTTACTGTTCTATTTACACAAAATTTCTGTATAGTGTGTAAATACTGCCCCTCATCTTTTGTAAGATTGGAAAAAATAATGGGAAAAAAATCTTTGCTCATCAAGAGTGCTTCGGCGCTTTTAAAAAAATATACATATTTTTACTGATTTCAGAGAGGAGGGGAGAGGGAGAGAGTGATAGAAACATCAATGATGAGAGAGAATCATCGATCAGCTGCCTCCTGACGCCCCCCACTGGGGATGGAGCCTGCAACCCAGGCATGTGCCCTGACCGGAAATGGAACTGTGACCTCCTGGTTCATAGGTCAAAAGCTCAACCACTGATGATTTGACACTTTTATCTCATTTTAGAATCTTTATTCTCAGGAGACTTCTCATTGTTTAGAATTAAGGGGATGGTGTTTCCAAAGGAAGGAAAGTGATGCAGGTCAGAGGGGAAGAGTGTCTGAGAGCCAGGCTAGTGGGATCACACAGGCTAGTGGGAGTCACAGAGCCCTCCACACCCGTGTGTTTGCAAGTGCATCCTTATAGGAAATAACCCCATGCAGTCTAAGACCTAAGCACACTGAGGTTTGTTTTCTTTGGGAAGAGTCCATTTTTTACACCAAATGATCTGGCCAGAGTGGAACGTGTCTTCAGCTTCGGCATGGAAAGGGTCAAGGTTTCCTGGGCTGGAAGTCATGTTTCACTCCCGACTCTCTGTCCCCTGGCTGCACCTGGGGTCAGGGAACTAGAAACGCAGCCCAGGCCCCACGAATGTTTGGATTCAAATGGTTAGTGTTGTTTAAAGTTTGGATTAGGAAGGTTAACGATATGGCCAGAGAGACCGGTTTTGATTTCTAGAACTGACAGCTTTGTCTCCTTAAGTCAAAGGAAGCACTTAAACCAGGGCCACAGAAACATCAGAAGTGGTTTCAGAAACAGTGCCCCTGTTGCCAGGCAGTGGTGTTCATGGTTGATGTTCCAGCAAAGGTTCTAGGCAAAAGGCAACTTTCCGAAGCTTACATAGATAGGTGAAGTTTCTTTTATTTGGGCTAAGGTTTAATCAGTTTGAAATATTTCTAAATATTGTTTCTTTGATTTTGGTTGAGATTTTATCAATTTAGTAAATAACCTCTATTTCATGTAAATTATAAGGCTTAATAATGAATGGAAAATTGAAAAACTGTTTCTAAACTTTTAAGCTTTTCCTAGAGATACCATTGAGAAAAATAATGGTCTTGTTGATGGAAGAAAAGTTTGGGAAACCCTGGAGTCCCTTGCGTCCATTCCAGACCCTTGGTGGAGGGCAGGTTGGAGACGAGTCCGCTTCCTCACCCCCATGGCAATGCCCTTCAAGAAGGACCCTGCATCCCTGTTTCCCCCCAGACCCAGCCAGAGTTTATTCCCTCTGATCAGCATGTGAATCGTTTCCACATCCTAAGCTCATTCGGAGCTTTTGCGATTTCCAAAGTAAAAATTTTCTCCCCAGCCTTTTATAAACTCTTTTCTTCATTAAAACAATGTCTGAGTATGAAATTTTTCAAGTATGTTAAGTTCTTTTTAAAGAAAACTTTACATCTAAGTTTCTTAGCTTGAGGTTTGGCAGCCATCCTCCTGTTAGGAGGAAACTCAAATGTTTATAGAGAATTTGCTTTGCTTTGGATTCAAGAGACTCGAGACTTTCATGATCATTCAGACGCCCACCGTAGTTTAGCATGGAAGGGGCTTCTTGAGTGATGGCCTCTGTCTCCATAACTTCAGCAACATTCGGATCAGGCTCCGAACACTCCATGTGTAGTCGGGGGGCTGGGTGAGCCCCGGTTGATGTTGGGAACAGGAATTACAGCTAACGTATAGCTATGCTATTATTTGTTGGTTCTGACGGGAAGTCACTATATATAAACTGTGGTCAGGCAGTATGATTTTATCAGAAATTTAACAGAACCTGTATTGTTGAAACAAAGCAGCCAGGCCCTTCTGTAGTTGAGCTGAACACAGCCGTATCCTCACTGTGACCAGTTCGCAGTGACACGGGACTGTGCCTACACAGAACTCGGGCTCGCACATGGAGCAGTGCATCTGCAGGCCTCCTGGGCTGCATCTGAACCCCCAAGTGTTTACAGAAGAGAAGAGGCGGGACCTGCCCCTGCAGCAGGATGTTTGCTGCAGCAGCTCTCAGCTGTGGAATTTGCTTATTAGATGGCTTGATTCTGCTTGGGTGTGGAGATCAAAGTGGAAAGGTTTTGGTGGGGGTAAGATGTATGCATTGGTTACTATGCTTTAGTTTCACAGGCCAGAAACCTGGGCCAGCCGAGCCCCGGTTCTCTCCCTCCAGCTCTTCTGCATGGCTCCCCTCATGGCTTTGTCTTCAGGCTCTCTCCTTACACCGCCCAGGGGGTGACAGCTTGCAGCAAGTACCTGGAGAAAGGTTCTCCTGGCAGCGCCCACACCAGCCCTTGGCCAGGTGCCCATTGTGGACCAGCTCTGGTTAGGAAATCGAAGTGGCCCAGGAGGCACGTTGGGATCATCTGTTTCACTTGAGGTGCAGCATCAATGGAGACAAACTGGTGCTGATTCCAAAATGAAAGACACAGGTGTTCAGCAGAAGGAAGAAAGTTCACTAGTTACAAACTCAGTTCCGACCTTCCTGGCTGGAGGGATGTGGCGGCGTGAGCCTCGCTCATCTCAGCCTGAGGTGCCTGAGGCCCCTTGGAGCACCTGCTTGCTGGTCTTGTTGCACTCAGGTCTCCTTCCGTATTTGTTCTGTTTTGTTCTCTCTTTTCTGGGAGGACCTGGAAAGGACAATGTAGGGCAGAGGGCTATCAAGTTGTACCTTGCTTCTCTCTGACCCTGCTTTCTCGCAAGGTCTGGGAAATGCTACCGAGTCTGAGAGGCAGGCACATTTTGCTGTTAGTATATTCTTTTATAAATCCACCAATTTCATATGAAATGAACCTTTTCTACTCCTCAGGGAATTAAAGGGGCTTAACCTTTAATTCCCCAAAACCTTGCAAATACTTTATTCATTTAACAAATATGTATTGGGCAATTACAGTATGTCATTATGGCATGTGCTGGAGATACTACAGTTAATCAAATAAAATAGTCAATGTGCTTATCCCCATGGCACTTACATTCCAGTGAAGGGCATGTTCCAGAAAGATCAGATACAGACAGGCAGACAGACAGACAGATAGGATAGCTAGACAGATATCCATATTGACAGATATGATAGACAGGTATATAGATAGATAGATAGATAGATGATAGATAGATAACAGACAGACATATTAGCCATGGCATAGACCAACTATGATGAGAAAACTTCGAGGGATGTAAGCAGTGGAGTAATATTATCTGAGATATTACTTAGATGGAGAATTTCTTTGGAGAAATGACCATAAATTCAAGACTGGGAAACCAATGAGGAGGTTGTTGAACAGACAACACAAGAACTGATTTTCTCTAGGCCAGGCTGGTGGCTGGGGAGCGGGCGATGCCATCAGATTCTGAGCGTGTGTGGAAGGTTCAGGTTCTGAGAAGGGTGGATGTGTTGATGAGCATGAGGAATGGGAGTCACAGCTGGCCTAGGTGTGGAGCGTGAGCTCCCGGATGGATGAGACCTACCTGGAGAGGAAGCTGGGAGAACAGGTTGGGGAGGAGGCGGGACGTCACAAGTTATGTTTGGATGTGTTTAACTTGAGATGCTTGCCTGATACTTGGGCTGAGCAGATAATTGATATTGTGAGTCTGGAATGTAGGGGAAGATTAAAGAGTAGATGAAACTTGGAGAATGATCTGCCATAGATGGTGCTTCAAGTCACAGAACCTGAGGTTTGAGTGCAAAGAAGGAAGAGGCTTGGGAAGACAAGAGGACCTGGAAGGAGGCGGAGAAGGAGGGCCAACCACGACTTTGTCGCCCTTCCTGGAGGCAGCTCCAGTCCGTGTTAGCAACTTGGTGGCATCTTTTTAAAAATGTGGCTGCTGTGTCCCTCACCACTCAGACCAGACATGGGCAGGTTTGTCCCTGCTCCTCAGGTCACTGGTGGTTCTGTGAGGGCAAAAGGGGAGAAACTGTGCCCAGGGGCCCCTGAGTCAGTAGGAGGCGGGGCCGTCATTTAGGGCCCTGTCACTCCCCACAAATGCCCAGCAGTGGAGGTCGGCCCTGCCAAGATTTCAGTTATGTGAGGGGCTGTGCTGAATGGTTTCATGTAGGAGCAGCATGTAAAAGGGGTCTTGAAGACTATTTCAAGAGGTCAGAGGTTGGCAGTTTTTTCCCTAAAGGGCAAGAGGGGACATGTATTGGGCTTTGTGGGCTAAGCAGCAACATTGAGGCTATATTACAGAATAAAGGTTAATTCCTTTAATATATAAATGAATAAGAAACAGAGAAATGCCCCATAAATAGACAAGAAATATTAAAAAGATTTTACAGAATTGGAAAAATATTCAACATAACTTGGGGAAGAACAGATTAAAAGTACACTGAGAATTTCATGATGAAGAAAAGGGTACTGGGTTTGCCATTTGCTGTAAACAACTAGAAACTGGGCAAAATATAAGGAATGTCTGTTTTCACATGTTGGACAACAGGCGAGTGGCGAGTGAGTCCCAGAGAGGAAGGAGGCCCAGAGCGTGTGTTCTTGTTGGATGAAGAGCTCGTGAGCTTAGAGAGGCTCAGGCCCATGGCACTTGCAGAGCAGAGGGGGTTAGAGAGAGAGCCCAGGGAATCTCAGAGGGATCCTGGAGTCCTCGGCTGAATGAGAGGCATTATTGGGGGACTTGGAAGGCAGGCGGGATAACTGCCAGGAGCTGTGAGGGGAGCAGCCCTGGGCGGACACAGCGTGGGAACAGCAGTTCCAACCAGCCAAGGGTGAAAGAGCTCAGTGAGCCCTGAGGACGTGGAGGAGAGAATACCACCCTAACTGTAGGGCCAACAGTGAGCTCGAGACTATGTACACACCTGAGCCACACATCAAAGTGTTCGCCTAGGCAGCTAGTTAGTTACTGACAAAGAAAGGGAGCAAATGGAGGCCCTGGCCAGGTAGCTCAGTTGGTGAGAGCATCGTTCTGAGACGCCAAGGTTGTGGGTTTAATTCCTGGTCAAGGCACATACTACTACAAGAATCAACCAATGAATGCATAAATAAGTGGAACAACAAAATTGGTCTCTCTCTCAAATCAATAAATAAAAATAAAAAAGAAAGGGAGCAGATGGAGCCAGACATCTAATTAAACATTAAGCCAGGTCTACTACAACCTAGATCCCAGGGGACAGCACATTATCTGCCAAACAGAGGCCAATCCCCAGGGGGGAGGAAGGACTGGTTTTCCAGCCCCCCCAGGGGACAGCTGGCTGTTCCCCCAGATTCCAGAAGGGGGGGACCAGTAAAAGAGAAATTCCTCTGCTGAGGCATGTACAGTAAGAGCCTAGATGGCGACCAAAAAGGGGAGGAGTCTACCCTGGGAAAAGGAAGGGATTGGGTAAGGGGAGGGCCCATCACAGCCCTCAGCGATTCATGTGCTTCCTCTCTGTAGCAGCAGTGTGGGCCCAAGCGCAGCCTCAGCAGAGGACCAGCCCATGGGTGTATGACACCCAGGGAAGTTCTGCATCTCTGGGTCCCGGCCCTCCTGGGCCTGATAGCCGTGGTTGCAGGCTTGCGCCCCAGAGGCTGGACTTCTTCCACACTGGACGGAGCTGAGCCCCCTGGTCATGGATGAGACACTAGGACTTGGGGACAGTCCCTTGTTTTCGCTCCATTAAACCTTGCCACTATGCTTCAAGTCCATGGGTCCCCGAAATGCTTTCCTTGCAATTCTGTGGAAGAACCCTATTTCCACCAGTAACAAAAGAAAGCCTTGACTCACTACCTGCTCACAACTTCTAGCAACCACCACTTTTACTAGAAATGGGTAGACACAGGAAAACATAATCCATAACTAGGAGAAAAATCCATCAGAAACAGGCTCAGGCAGAACAGAGATGATGCAATGAGCAGACAAGAGCGTAAAAGCACCTTTTACAATACGCTGGAGGATTTAAAGAACAACATAAGCACAATGAGCACAAAAACGGCAGGCACGAAAAACAACCTGTGGAACTTTCAGAACCAGAAACACAGTCTTTAAAATGAAACATTGGAAATAAACTCACAAAAATTCTTAAAAAAAATAAAAATAAAATAAAATGAAACATTGATTTGATGGTCTGAACAGCAGATTTCACATTAAACCTCTTGATTTCTTTGGCTCTTCTGGTCCCCTGTCTGGAAATAGGGAATGATCTTGTTTTAAAATGTCTTCTACACCCAATGTTGCCTCCCAGTCTTTGGAATTTCCATGGAATTATTATGCCAATGTGAATTCCCCATGTGCATGTATTGAACTTTGATGGTCTGCTGTTAATCTGTCTCTGTTAATTTGGTTATTAGCCCAGAAGGTGGGAGGAAAAGTATTACTATTCTTTAGCCCCCACACAAGCAACACTGGAGTGCAAAGTGCTGTACAAATGCTAGCCTTTGTTACTTAATCACTCAATTCCCAAGTCTCCTGGAATTTTACTACCAATAAGGAAAATCTGTACAGACCGCTCAAACATTTTTGACAAAAATAGCCAACTATGTTAAGTTTTACATTAGCTAACATAGACAGTTATAAAGTACATCTTTTTAAAATCTATATAATAAAAGGCTAATATGCAAATTGTCCCCTCGACCGGGAGTTCAACCAGGGTTTGGGGCTGGCTAACCGTCCACAGCCCCTCCTCCGGCCGTGCATGAATTCATGCACCGGGCCTCCATGATTTTAATGTTTTTATTAGTATTGGGTTGAGTTAAGAATTACAGGGAGAACATACATAATTGGGAGATTGAACCAGATTTTGTTAAGATCCTTTAGAATCCCATGATTTTATAATACCTGAGATGTTTAGGGTTCCTAATCTCCTAGTGAATTTACTTTACTAGGAAAATAGAGATGAAACAATTAGTAATTGAGGATTTCCAGTTCATTTTCTTTGTCTGGTAGGGTATGATTTGTTAATGCTTAATTGTGTATGAGAAAAAAATGAAGTGACAATAAATTTGTAACTTCTATCTTTTTTTAAAATGTTCTAGTGAATAACCCTATACCTTCCAATTTGAAATCGGAAGCAAAAAAGGCTGCTAAAATTCTAAGAGAATTCACAGAAATAACTTCCAGAAATGGACCTGATAAGATCATTCCTGGTAGGTAAATAAAACCGTGCTGTGAATTTCTAAATTTGCTTTGCTTTCTAACTTGGTGTTGCATGCCTTGACGTCAGGCTGCCAACCCCCTGAGAGAGCAAGTCCTCACCCACCTTTTTCTCTTGGCTGATCCTCCCAGCTGTATCTCACCTATTATGGCCGTCTTGGGGTTTTTGAGCCCTTACGATGTTGCGTTTGCAGAAACAACATAGAGGCTGAGCTGGGAGTTGGGGACCCCCCACCTCTCAACTGTCCTGTAACCACATTTTATCTGTACTGTAGCTCCAATGTGCCCTTAAGGCTCCTTGTGAGAACCCAGGAATCGGCCCAGCACACCTGTGTGCGTGAAATCTGCTTGCACCTGCTCACCTGTTGTCTCTGACCTTTGCAGCCCACGTGATTGCCAAGGCCAAGGGCCTTGCGGTTCTGTCTGTGATAAAAGCCGGGTTTCTGGTAACGGCGCGAGGAGGCAGCGGGATCGTGTTGGCTCGACTTCCAGACGGAAGTAAGTGACGTTTCTTCACGTGGGGAGGAGAGAATCCTGCATATTCACTGTTCTGTTTCCATGTGAACACATTTCACAGGGAGTATGGCAGGCTTCCCACGCCCCAAACCTGTCATCCTGAGGGCTCCCTGGGGTGTGTCCTGGGTATCAAACAGCTCAGGGCCATGAGCCGTCACTGTTCTCTTCCTAAAACATTGGATGAGATCCAGGTTGACCTGGCTTTGTCTTGTATACATCTGTAGTTCTTTCATGGAGCAAATATTAAACAGGACAAAATTTGCATCTGCTGTTAAGTATGAGTTCTTGTTCCTCAACTTCATGCCACAATGGTTTTCTTTTGTTTTGTGGAATTTTATAAGAAAATGAGAGCCATCTGTAGCTCCTGTGGGAAGTCATTTGAACGAATATCCCCAGAGCAGAATGCTATCAAGATCAATATAATTTGGTTTCATTTTCTGCAATGAAACCTAATACTTGATTTCTCAGAGGTGAAATCGAAGTGTGTTTGCCTTGAACCCCAAGAACCAGCATGGAGAGTAAGACTTAGAGTGTGTGCAGGCCTGCCAGGACCAACCAAATGCTTCTTAGACCAACTGAATATTGCTGTTCAGCCCTATAAGTGAGCACATTTTGGTGTAAATAGTTATTTTTTTGTGTAGTTTGTGGGACATTCACCGACAATGGGTACATCTAGGCGTCTGTGGGGCACACAGCCTTTGAACCTCAGTCGCTGGACCCCCCTGTGGAGGTATCCCGCCAGAATGAGAGTCCTCCAAGCTGTGGCTCAGCTCTCAGAGCTGGAAGCACAGCTGTGAGACAAAAGCGACAGAATTCTCTCCTCTCAAGCATCACCCCAATGTTTATGGCCAGATTTCCCAGTAAGTAGCACAATCAAAGTGGGGGTACATTCAGAGAGAGTCCACGCCGGGTGAGCCCCAAATCTCTAAGAAGGCCTCAGCATTGTAGGTCCCTTTGGTCACTGACAGATGACTATGCAGAAGGTGGGGGTGCTATCGGCCTCTGGAGTTTCACTCTGAGCCCTTACATTTCTCTCCCATCTTGCCCAGTGGTGGCTGCTCAGGATAATTTAAAAGCTGCCCAAATGAGGCACAGAGAATTCCCGGATCCCTGCTGGATGGGGGCAGAGGCAGTGCCTAACATAGGGAATGGAAAATAATGTTGGCATTTAAGACACTGATTTCTGTCTAAGTCCGGACAGATTAGTTCTGGGTAGACTCGATAGTTATCATCTGGAAAGCATGCAGGAAGGAAAGTCTGATTTAGAAGCTGATCAGCATTTCAAGAAATGACTTTATCTGGACCATTCCACCCTCCCCCAACCAAATTAATGTTTTTTCTAGACTTGTTTAACCCGTTTCTATATCAGACAAAATAAGCATAAAATACTCATGCAAATGCAATTACTGTGCTTAGTGTCCAAATGTAAGGAAATATATTTTACTAGAATTTTAATCATCTGGAATGGATAGCCTATTCCTTGTGCTTTTACTAGGCACAAAGGGTGTCAAACAGTTTTTGCCCTTGGAAATGTAAATTATAAACCATGTAGTATTGTGTTACCCTCAGGGGTGGTTATAATCCTAGTAAACTCTCAATCCTTTTACTCTCAGATCTACGATAAAATTCTTACTAATGGCTAGAATTACTGCTCAATTATTTTGTAAAACATGTTGATTGTTGAAGTTGTCAAATGCTAAGTAAGTTTAGTTGGTGAGAATTCAATAGTTTGGTATTAGGCATGTTTATTGAGAAAGATTAGACAACATGTATTTGTGAGTCTGAGACTCATAATGAGTATCTAATATTTTTAACTTAAAAATTATATATAAAAACATTTAAAAACATAGAGGAAAATATCAGATTCTTCTTATTTTAAAAAGAAACGGTATTCATCCTCATGTTAGCATTTCCCCTGATATTTGCGTGATGGGTCTGACTTTGGAGTGACGTGTGCTTGTTTTATTAGAGTGGTCCGCACCTTCTGCCATCGGGATCGCGGGGCTCGGTGGAGGATTTGAAATCGGAATCGAGGTAAGGGGCCAATGGTCCGCACACGATCATGAATCCTCCAAAAGCAACTGAAACCTAACACCCGGGAGTGAGAGATTTCCACCCGTGTTTATTTTACCAAAAACCTATGGAAACGGTTCCCTTTTATCCTCTTGATGAACCTCTCCCTAAACCTCTCTCACGTGACTATCTTCTTCCTTTTCTCTCATTGACGTAGAATTTTTTTCATTTGCCATATTTCCACCTTTGGTGTCTGTAGAACAGATATGTCTCAGGCTGGCCACACGAGCGATGTGTCGGTGACTCCTCACGCCGGGTCACGGCCACTCTTTCCACAGCCTTGGCCTCCACGCACCGCTGGGGCCTGCTTTGGGGTTTCTCTCAAATAGCATTTATTTAAAAAACAATGAGAGGCCCTGGCCGGGTAGCTCAGTTGGTTAGAGCGTCACCCCAATACGCCAAGGTTGTGGGTTCTATGCTTGGTCACAGCACATATAAGAATCAACCAATGGCCCTAGCTGGTTTGGCTCAGTAGATAGAGTGGCGGCCTGTGGACTGAAGGGTCCCAGATTTGATTCCGGTCAAGGGCACATGCCTGGGTTGCTGCTGATCCCCCAGGTGGGGCATGCAGGAGGCAGCCGATCCATGATTCTCTCTCATCATTGATGTGTCTATCTCTCTCTCCTTCTCCCTTCCTCTCTGAAATCAATAAAAATATATTTTAAAAAAAGAATCAATATTTTAAAAAAAGAATCAACAAATGAATGTATAGATGGGTGAAACAACAAATCAATGTTTCTCTCTCTGTGTGTGTCTTTCTCTTTCTCTTTCCCTCTAAATTCAATCAATAATTTTTTTTAAAAAGGATGATAGACTAAGTAATAATGACTTCAATAAATCCAATGTAGCAAAGACTACCCATGAGTGTCTCCATGATGATTCCTTGGAAGCTGGATGTGGGCCCTAGTGCACGTTAAGAGACTTGAAAAACTAGTACAGTAACATGAAGTCCTCTCACCCGGTAAATGCAACAGAAAGATGTGAGGTAAACATGTTGTAAGACGATGTGCTTGGTTGTCTTCCCAAAGCAATTGGGTCCAGTGGTGGAGCCGCAGGAGCGAGGACTGAGCGGGCAGCACCGTCCAGTTCCCGCCGAGCGCCTTCCAGCGCATGCTCTCGGTCAGCTCACGGCTTCACTGTAACAGAGGCGAAGGCAGCCTTCCCTCGGGTTTACAGTAAATGAATCTGTAGGTGAAACTACTGGAATGCGTAAGCTGTGAGAGGAGGCGTTGGGAGGAGACGCGGTGTCTGTTGCCCGCGGGACGGGCCTGTCATTTTTTCCGTGCTCGCCTTGGGTGCCACCAGCGCAGCGGCGAGTCTGGAAAACAAATGCGTTCCCCACGCCGACAGGCCTTGAGCGTCCTCGTTCTAGGTTCGCTTAGACTTAGAGAGTGAGGTCATAGCGACAGGCACTGGGAAATGTCACTGTGTTTCTTCCTGATGGTTTGAACCTCTGTGGCATAAAATGAAGTGTCTGCTGTGCATTTCACGGGGACTGGGCGCCAGGCCTTGGCAAGGATGTCGCCGTGGACCTGTCCTGGGAACCAGGGCCTCTGGGCGGTGGCCTCCACCCCACTCCTGTCTGTGCTCTCAGCTTGGCTTCCCTGAGGGGTTAGTTGCCGGGGTACCTGTGATGTTCCCCTCCAACCCCGGTTTGATCTGTTCTGTCATCGCTGTGACAGTTCACTTAACCTCACGACACCCCTGTCACCACCTGCATTACCAGGTTGCTGGGGGGAGTAAGAGATGATGCACGAACCCTCACAGTGTGTCAGGAGTTTGCCGTCGTCGGTGGAAATGTCAGCTGCTTGCATCCTCAGCTCAAGACGAAAAATATGACTGTCCTATTCTTTCCCTGTCTACACTGAAATGCTTATTACAGTGTATATAATATTTGAGTTTTAATCAGCCTATATTTTAAATAATAGTTAAACATAATTATTTTTACATAAATGGGTTTCTACATTTTAGGTGTCGGATTTGGTTATAATTTTGAATTATGGCCGAGCGGTAGAAGCTTTTGCAAAAGGTGGCAACCTAACCCTCGGAGGGAATTTGACTGTGGCAGTCGGGCCTTTGGGAAGGTGAGTTCTGTAAAATACATTGGAACAGCTGTGGGATAGAAAAGTGTTAAAAACTATATATTAACGTGTGTTAAGAGGAAACTTGAATTCACATGAAGCAAAGTTACGATCTCTGTATCTCACAGAAGGTTTGAGGCTGCTTACAAATAAGAAATTTACAGAACATCGCCAGTGTGATAAAATGAGGAAATCTGCACACACAAGAAACGAAACATTTCTGAAATTCCAGCCATTGTATTTTCTGGAATGGAACACAAATTTCACATTAAACTTTGGAGCCAAAGCAAGTTAAACTTTAACTGGTGAAGGGCGGTGGGGATCAGAAACGAAAAGGCTCTCTTTCCAAACTGAATTATGAAAAATCGAAAAGGAAGTGTCTCACTTGAGTGTTGTTTGAAACACAGTGGATTTTCCTTCTCTGTTAGTGAAGTACTGTTGTGCTCACTGAGCAGTTGAGGAACTTTTTATACCCAGACTGTTTAAAGAAGTCACACGGTAAAATCATCGGAAAAGATGTCTAAGTTCCATGAAAACCCTCAGTGTAAAAAGAACCCAGTCCTTGGCACCTGGAGAGTATTCCCTGTTTGGGGAAAGGAAGGCAGGAAGATGAAAGCTGTCCTTGTGTCCTCGGCACTGAACCCCCGGGGCTGAGTCCGGGGCCCTGTCCTTCCCCTCGACCCCCCTTCCCTGCACCCCTCAAGCCCACGCAGGCCAGCCACAGGAAGCGAGCGTGTAAAGGCCTGAAGGAAGACAGGCCAGCCTTGGGGTCAGAGGTCAGTGCTGCCCTCGCACCGTCTGTGGGTGCAGAGCCTCTCTCAGGTGTGAGCTAACCCTCTGTTTCGCAGGAATTTGGAGGGAAACGTCGCCCTGCGGAGCTCGGCCGCCGTCTTCACGTACTGCAGGTCCCGGGGGCTCTTTGCTGGCATCAGCTTGGAAGGCAGCTGCTTGATTGAAAGGAAGGAGACCAATCGGAAGTAAGTGTAAGGCGAGTAATTGTCATTGATGTAAAGACGGTGTCATGAGAAAAGAATGTTTGGTAAATGTATACAGCGCTAGTTCCTTTGTCTGTTCCTTTTTTAAATCAACAAGATATGACTCCGAGTGGGTGTTTCTTCATTTAAAAATTCAATGTGAGATAATATGTACCTACTAGAGGCCGAGTGCATGATATTCGTGCACTTGGGGGGCGGGCCTCAGCCTGGCCTGCGCTCTCTCGCAGTCTGGGACCCCTTGCTCCTTACAGCCCGCCTGCAGTGGGGGCGGGAGAGGCTCCTGCCACTGCTGCTACGCTCGCCAGCCACGAGTCCTGCTTCTGGCTGAGCAGTGTTCCTGCTGTGGGAGCGCACTGACCATCAGGGGGCAGCTCCTGTGTTAAGTGTCTGCCCCCTGGTGGTCAGTGCACATCATAGCGACCGATCATTCCACCATTTGGTCGATTTGCATATTATACTTTTATTATATAGGATAGAAAGCTTAGAAAACACAAAAAATTAAAAGGGAGGAAAACATTTTACCCCTTTAAAGATTATTCACCGTTTGTTTTGTTGCCTCCTAATATTTTTCTAAGCATACTTTTCTTTTGTTTTGCCACCTGTGATAGTAGCATAAGTTCTTTTTTAAAACATATTTTTGTTGATTTCAGAGAGAAAGGGGAATGGAGTGAGAGATTGAAACATCAATGATGAGAGAGAATCATTGATTGGCTGCCTCCTGCAGGCCTGCTACTGGGGATTGAGCCTGCAACCCGGACATGTGCCCTTGTCTGGAATAGAACCTGGGACCCTTCAGTCCTCAGGCGATGCTCTATCCACTGAGCCAAACCAGCCAGGGCAAGATTCTATTGCAAATCCTATTTTCTCACTTAGCATTATAAGAATCATAAATGTAAGTTAATGGTTCCATAGTATTCTATGAGGTGGATGTGCCCTATTAGGTATATTTTTCGAGCATTTTTAGAGGCCCGGGCTAGTTATGACCTGTAGGTCAGTCAGAATGTGTCTCCTTGTGAAAGTTTCCTGTTATCACACTCATTCTTCCATAAAAGACAGACCACTTTACACTTTTTAAAAAATGGATTTGGATGTACTTATAGACCAAGAGGAACTTTCACTCTAAACAGGCATCTGGCTAATTTTTCCCAAAGCAGCTCTTTGAAACCTCCTCTAAAAATATGTTTGCTTGCCCAGGAAAAGGTAAAGCACCAAGACCCACAGAAGCACTGCTTCCAGAACCTGGTGGGGATTCCTCCCTGTGGGAGCCAATGGAGCTGACCAGGTGGTTCACAGCAGACAGACCGCCCCCCACCCCCAGCTCCCAAAGAGAGAGAAACCCATGCAAAGTCAGTGCCAGTCCACTCACGATTCAGCAGCACTCGATCGCATTCCATGTAAACACCCAGGCCAGACAGCAGGGAGGATGGGGGGGCGTGCAGGGTATGGAGCTCTCCATCAGGAAGTTGAGGTGTTTTTACCTCGATTTTATAAATCTGGGAAATACAGGTTAAGAAAGCTTTTAGGGACTTCTGGCTTTAGACCTTTGGAAGACTTTCCCACTCAAGTTCATCTAAATTCTGGGAAAACTAAAACACATATAATCAACTGCAGGCCTTTCAAACATGTAAGGCAGATCCTTGTATGATTTTGAAGCAAATATCCATTTAAAGAAATTGCAAAGGCATATATGTTGAAATAAAGCCTTAGGCTGGGGTGATTGAGAATCGTAAAAAATAAAAACCTGTAAAAATGTATCTGCTTGTAGGTGTATTTGCAAAAGTGTTGATATACTGTACCACATAGGGTCACGTATGTTCGTATAGACAAGTGTCTGTGTGTATATGTGGTGTGCATTTTGTATTTTGTGCATATCAGAGTATTGAAGGTGGTGCCCCCAGAGGTGAGCATGGGGGTGCATTCCGGGTTAACGTGGGTATGGCTTGTAGTTAGTTTGAAAAGTAGTGTATGAGTACACACACACACAGGACTTCCTCTAGAAAGGATCCATGTCTATAAAAGAAATGTTCTTGATTTGACATTTCTTTTTAGGTTTTATTGTCAAGATGTTCGAGCGTATGACATTTTATTTGGAGACATGCCGCGGCCTGCTCAAGCGGAGGACCTTTACGAAATCCTTGATGCGTTCACTGAGAAGTATGAGAGCGAAGGACAGCGGATCAACGCGAGGAGAGCCGCCCGGGAGCGGAGGAAGGCTCCGGTGCTGTTGGTTTACTTTCTCTGTAGCCACAGGACACCTCCCTGCACAGAGTACTCTGTCCTTGAACCAGCTTCCTAATAACCTTGAACTCCCTCGTGACCTCGTTTACCTAAAGTGCTTGTGAAGATGTCCTACAGCCTTCACATGCCACCTGCACAGGTTTCAAAGGGAAACGCAGTCCTTTCCCACATGGCGTTTCTCCAAGGGCGGGACTTTGTCATTTCAGTTACCCACACGGAGGTGTGGGAGGGAGAGGGCTTGTGGGCCTTGGTTACCTAAGTCCACAACCGCTTTCAGTCGCTTAATCCGCCTTAAAGAATGGAAACTGACTCACAGAGTTAGAACTGTCACTGCCTCTCCCCGCCACCACTTACTGTGCCTGCAGGTTGTCAGAGGGACCTGGGCCAGGTGCACTTCCTGTTACAGGGCACCCCCGGGTATGTTGTGGTCCAGCTCAGCTAAGTGCCCCAGAGCAGCACCTGTGAGCATGAGGGACTTCATTTGTCAGCGCACGGGGTAGGCTTTGCCACACGTACTCATTAGGAGAAAGGCCTTGTGTGCTCCTAGGGAAAATGGGATTTTTTTATTACATGCATTTTTTTATTCCTCCCAAGGCTCAAGAATTACCTCCAAAACCACTGTCAAGACCACAGCCATCATCTCCACAGGGCCCGCTGAGCTCCGGCTCTCAGAGTAAGTATTTTTTTGCAATTCAAATGCAATGAGAATTAAGCAGTTATTAAATATTATTGTTAAGAAATGGAGCCACATTGTTGAATTTTACAGTTGAATAAAAGAACTAGTGGGTATTAAAGAAAAGCGAATGCTCAAGCCTCTTCTAAATGCCCAAATCACATTCTCGTGGCTATGATTTGTTAGGGTCTCTATTCTCGTTCAGAAGAAGCGGGTTTAAAATGGGAACAAAATAAGCCTGTTTTTCTTATATATTCACAGATTCCTATTTCTGAATATTAATTTTATCCTCCATCTTGGGATCTCAGGGTTTCGTAAGGTGGTTTTAGAATAGACTGGATTATGCAGTCTATGTCCTGGCCTTTGCCCCTTTCCATCACTCTCTGACGACGGTCACTCTTAGAATTCTGCTTTGCACATGGAGAGGTCACCAATAAACGGCATGCGTTAAAGCAGGTGGTGCTCTGTGTAATGTCGATTGTCGGGGAGGCTGTGCCGGGCTTTGGAGAACAAAGATGAGGCTCACTTGCGTCCTGCAAGCGCTTTCAGGCTAGGAGATGCCCCCATGGAAGTGTGACCGAGGCCCCTGGAAGGAAGTTGATGATGTCTGGGGAGTGCATGCTGTTTAAAAATTATTTCCGGGGTTATGCAAGCAAGGATGTTCAAAAATCTCTGGCTTGGGAGTTACGAGCTTTTAGATTCAGGTGTTTTAGGATCACGTCAGTAAAAAGACATGTCTACTAGTCTGTTTGCCATGGGTGTGTCACTATGAGGCCTGCATTGTGGCTTATGTGCTAAGGTATCAGATATGCCTTAAGATATGCCATCTCCCTTAAGCCTGGTGTATGTTCTGGATTTTCTCAGGCATTCCTTGATTTAAAGCATGATAAAATAATGGCGTTTATATCAATTATTTTTATTTACAATATTTTCTTAGCAAGGGCAAAGTTTGGCATTCTTGGACACTTTATAAACTATAAACTAGTTTTCTAAATGTTTCCCCCCCATCTTTTTTTTTTTTTTTTTGCAGGTGACAGAAACGAATATAAACTCTACCCTGAGCTTCCCAGCTATCCTGAGAGAGTCGGTAAATAAAAATATCCACATAAAGTGATTTATCTCCATCGATAGCCACAAGCTGTCTGATTTCTCTGGCAGTTGTAAAACACCTCAGGGACAGTATTTGACACCCTTATTAGATGTACAGGAATCCACATGGTTGTGAGAAGTACTTCATTTAAAAAAAAAAGTGACGCTCTTGTTCTCTTACTTGCTTGACTTGGAGGTAATGAGGGTGACATGGAAGCCAAACAGTTACCTGCTGAGAAGCACCTGGGCTCAGACTAGATGCTGCTGACGCAGGGCCACAGCCTTGTCTGGACGCAGGGGCCAGGTCACCAGCAGACACGTCACTGCAGCAAATGTGCACAGACATTTACTGTCCAAAAGCTGGGCTGTCCAAGGGCTGAGGTTCTCCTGCCTCTTGTCTGGGCAGATGTGTGGCCGCATCTGGGTTACATGACGCACTGAGACAGGGAGGGGACCGGCCTTGCTAATTGGGAGCCTCAGGGCAGCTGCCAATCACTAACTCTGATATAACCTGTTTCCTGTTCAGTGTAGCCCTGATTTGGGAGAGAAAAATGATCCCTATTTGAATTAAACTCGAATCTTAGGATGAAAATGGCCCATTGCTTCAGATCCTGCAGATCTCTGTTAAGCACAGGAATGTGACCCACCAGGCCTGCGTCCCTCAAGGCGCCTGTGAATGCCTACGGCTCGCAACCCAGGGTCCCATGGTCTCCCTTCCCGGAAGGACAGACCGGCTGGACTCACTTATTGTTTAAAGGAATTATTTTGTGGGCATTAAACTTTCCCTAATGGAAATTTCCCTACTGTTTACAGTGAAGAGGAACTTTAGGGCATTTCCTGCTTATTGCAGAAAAAGCTCACAGTAGGCCGTGGCATCGGTGGCCTGGGCACAGCCTCACTCGGGCGTGGCCTCCTGTTTTCCCAGTACCTGACTGGGGGTTGGGTGGCGTCTGGCAGGCCTGTGTCTGCCTGTCTGTGACCCTCCCCCCGCCC